AACTTGTGTCATTTTCTTTAGAATTGGCATAGCGGCCCCAACCCCATCCATAAAGCTCTCCAGCTTCTGTCACTGCAGCAGTACGTTCAGCTCCAGCTGCTGCGACCATTTCAACGGGGATGCCCTAGGAGTTGCATCACAATGGCAAAGCGAATAAAGCTATTTAAGTAAATCCCTTATCCTTCTACAAAGTATGCTGCAAGATGTTCCTCATTAACCGGAAGCTCACTGTAAAGGCCTCAAATAGTCAAAACATTGGTGCAGCCTAGGAAGAAAGATTGAGCGAAATGTCTGGCAGTAAAGATTGAGCTAAATGTCTGGCAGTAGTGAACACGCAAATCTTTCTCAAAAAGTATGTTGGTGAAGGATCACTCGTCTAAGCAGTGAGCAACAAAGATCCTTATTGACATTATTCCAGATAAGTTACTCGCCAGTACCTGACATTCGTGTATCTTCTGTGGCAGAAGAGAATCCTCAGTGGTGCCAAGACCAAGTCGACCATTTTGAATTCTCCCCCAGCTTTAATCAAGCAAAGGATCTGTAAGGAAAAGTGCAAGGCACTTGTCTGGTTTTACATTGGTGACTTTAACCTAAAGCATTCTATCAGGGAACAATATCAACAGGGAGGAAACACACTGGACAAGTTTCTTTAAAAAACGTCCGAAAGCCGTAGGAAGATCAAATTTAGATCAATGAAGTACCTGGGCTGAGATGGTTAAAGGTAAGCTCCAAAGTAGGGTCGGCAATTTGTTTGTTTGTGTAAGAAATAGTGTAGTGCCAAATTTAGGTATAATCCGAACATGGCCTCGTTTAGTAAGCATTCCATATTTTTTGAAAGGGTATCACTAAAAACCCCAAACTCGTATATATGTAAAAAATTTACTTCAAATTAATTTTTTGACCACTAAAAACTCTAAACTGGTACACCTGTGACAAATTTACCTCAAAATAATTTTTTCACCACAAAAAATTCCAAACTGGTACATTTGTAACAAATTTACCATATGTTAAATTGGATTAATATCACGAAAAACCAAAAAAATGATATACCTGTGACAAACGGAAAGTAAAACCTCAAATCGGTACACCTGTCAACTACCGCATGTAATTCAACTTAGAAATTTAACGGTAAAATTTAACAAAAACTAACGGATAGTAAAATTGTCACAAATGTATCAATTTGAGATTTTTTTGTGGTCAAAAAATAAGTTTTGGGTAAATTTATTATAAATATATCAATTTTGGATTTTTTTTCGTGATATTAACCCTTTTCAAAACCCAAACAAGAAATTTATTTAGTGGGCCATAGGAATACGTGGCGGCCCGCGGCTTTTAGAAATAGTAAAATTTGTTTTTGGTATAATTCTCTAGAGCTTGTATCGTAGAACTACATGGGAATTGCTTCAGTGTTGAAGTCGGTTGTATTTCCAAGTCGGAGCAGAGGTAATGGAGTTTGACAAGAAGACGTCCAGCTGGTATCTCGAAGACGAAGGAGTGTCCGAAATGGAATTTCTTCCTTAAACCGACTCCATTAAATGACCTCTGCAAGCCGCCAAAGAAGGGTTGTTCAAGCGTGGACTGTTTACTGATTGACTTTAGAGATTGGTGTCGGACAAGCTTGCACTAGCTGGATTTTTTTTTGCCGACCTCACTAGGCGGTGGAGTCTTTTATGTGTCGAGCGATTTCAGGTTCCGTACATATTCTATCTGAAACCTATTCATTAGAACACGTTTTTCATTTTTTGGAACTCAAAACTTATTCCGCATATCCTGGAACCTACCATGTCACCGTGCTGTTACAATCCATTGACCAAAACTTATATTTAGACACACGAAAAATATGAAACATATACAATGGAAGCTCAAACTAATAGTTCCAGAATATACACTCATCATCGAATGCCATGGAATTTCGCAATATCGCACGAAGACATAAACCAAGAAAAATACAAAAACTTGTTCCAGGTTCCAGATTCTAAGTTCCAGGTTTCAGGTTCCATTTACCTAGAACTTGGAACCTATACGTCAAAACAGATTCTCTAATTTTTGAAACCTGAAACCTACCCTACATAGATAGGTTCTCACCGATCTGGTTCTCCGATTCTCCGATTCCAAGTTCTATCCTAGAACCATGCTCACCTTTATTGTGTGTGTGTGTGTTTGCTTGGTAGAGTCGTAGAGTCAGTGAGAGAGTTAATCTCGAGAGAAAAACTTGTAAGAAAGAGTCGGAAAGTTAGCGTGTGTTCTACAAGTTGTAAGCCTACGCAAGGCACTTTGAGTATCATTATCTCTCCTTTGTGTATTTGTATTCTCTCCTCACCAAAACTTTCAAAGTTTCTCCGCAACATCCCCACCTGCGACGGCATCTCAAAGGCCAAACAAGGTTAAGTTGATCTCATGGCTGGGTTGATGGTGGGGTCTGTCGTGGCGGAGGTGAAAAGAGAAGAAGGAAGGAAAAAAAAAAGAACAAAAAAATGAAAATAAAATAATTTTGATTTAGAAGAATAAAATGACTTGGGATTGACATCAGATTCTAATGGTTTACCTTGAATAATTATTGGATTGCCTAACTATTTTCTTCCTTGGGTTTATAAATTGCTATTCCCCCTTGTCTTAGCCAATCTTTCATTGTTGGTACACTTGGCAATTACCTCGTTTGCTTTTGAACATTCCAAGTTATTCATTGACTGATCCAAAGCAATCCATTGTCGTAAACCCAGGTCCATGATGTACAGGGGTTAATTTTTTGGGTTAATATCACGAAAAACTTCAAATTGATATATTTGTGATAAATTTATTTCAAATTAATTTTTTTAACAATAAAAAACTCCAAACTGGTACACCTGTGATAAATTTTCCTTTAACTAATGTTTTTATTACCAAAAACCCAAAATTGGTATATTTGTGATAAATTTACCCTCCGTTAAATTGAATTAATATCACGAAAAATCACAAAATGACACAACTATAAACCGATACACCCGTTAACTATCACATGTCATTCAATTCAGAAATTCGACGATAAAATTTAACAGAAACTAACAGAGGATAATATTATCACAGGTATATCAGTTTAGAGTTTTTCGTGATATTAAACCTAGTTTTTTTCTTTGGTTAGAGGAAAGGGGTAGTTAGGTTGTAGAAATTTAGCGAAATTTACATGTGATGATCAAATACTGTAACAATTAATTAGGCACATGCGGCCAAAATAAGCACCGTGGAAATGAGAATGCTTCATTGCGTGCGAAAACACGGGAAAAGACAAGATTAGAAATGAATTTACATGGGGAAAAATTGACGTTGCTCGATCGAGGATAAAATGAAAGAAGGCTGTTCGAGATGGATTTGATCCTATTGAACGAATCGAATGACCCTGTGCGGAGATGGAAGAAAAAGATACAAACAACGGTTATGTGGAAGGAGACGATCATAAGAAAAGATTGGGAGAGTTTACAGAGAACTTTCATCGTCCGCAACTTTATGATGAGATTCGTATATACGACCCTGCATAGCGGGATACGGTTCGGTCTATCATTGTTGCACAAAAAGCAAATAATATAACGTATTATGATCGTCTCTTTCCACATAACCGTTGTTTGTATCTTTTGTTTACATCTCTGCACAGGGGTACTTGATTCGTGCAATAGGATCAATTCCATCTCGAACAGCCTTCTTTCATATTATCCTCAATTGAGCAACGTCAATTTTTCCTCATATATTCATTTCTATCAAAATGAAAAAAAATAATTCTCCGTTAGTCTAATTGTATAATAGACTATCAAAACGATGATAGGATAGAAAACGTGGTAAGTTGATGGATCTTTCAAATTGGGACCTCTTTGTTATTGTGACACGAGCTTTTCAAAATTAGCATGTAACTTCATGGTCAAATTGAAAGGAATTTAGCTTAGTGATGGCAAAGACCAAAATCTAATAGGGTCAGATTACTCAATTAAAAATTAACTTACATAATAATTGGAAAAAGGTATTTGGATAGAGTCAATTAATTAAGCCCAGTCAAATAGACTAAGCAAGGCCACTCTTTTAGCGACGTAGCAAGTTGCGAGATGACATTCAAATAAACGAATCACATTTAACAAATTATTTAGTATGTCAATTTTGTAAAGGGTTAATATCATGAAAAATCTTAAATTATTATATTTGTGATAAATTTACCCCAAACTAATTTTTTGACTACCGAAATTTCCAAATTTGTACATGTGACAAATTTACTCAAAATTGATTTTTTGACCACCAAAAATCCTAAATTGGTACACTTATGATAAATTTACCTTCTGTTAAATTAGATTAATACCACGAAAAATCACAAATTGATAAACCTGTGACAAACGGAGGAGTGAAATCCCAAACTAGTACACTTATCAATTGCCACATGTCATCGAACTCAATAATTTGTCGGTAAAATTTAACAGAAACTAATAGAAGGTAAATTTGTAACAGGTGTACCAGTTTATGATTTTGGTGGTCAAAAAATTAATCTTGAGTAAATTTATTACGGATGTACTAAGTTGAGATTGTCCATGATATTAACCTTTTTGTAAAATCAGTTTCACTGTGACAAAAACAACTCTCATGAGCAACGTGCCTCAAAAGAAAAGGGATTTCAAAACGCACGAGGCTTGCAGAATTGTAATTGGGCAATCATTCCAGCTCGTCTTCACGTATTGAAAATGTCCCGCGAGTCAGTACACAGGCGACGTTTTCTTCAGGCGCGTTTGAGAAAAATGCGAAAAGGACAGAGCACGGAAGTCAAATGGCCGACAGCTCGACTCGGCTCCCTTCACTACTATATAAAGGCCATCACCATTTCTTTCCGAAGGCACTTCACTTCCCACATTCGACGAGCAAAAGAGGATATCATGGATGCCCAAGCTTCACCGTAACAGCCTCCTCCCTTGTCCTGCTCAATTTTTGCTTTGTTTTGCTTTGCTTTGCTTGTTTACTTTTTTGTTGTTTCGGAAAGGTTTGAGACAAGCGAGATGGTGGGGACTTTCCTGGCCTCGACGCCGCTGCTGAAGGAGGCGTGGAGGCTGTGCATCGCCACAGACAAGATGGGGTGTGGCGGCTTCATGGCCAAGCAAGTCAGGGGCGTGGGGTACGTGGCATTCTCGGGCGTCCAAGAGCTGCTGGTGCCCGGTTGGGATCCGAACTTTGGCATGCTGGCGCCGCTGGATGCGGCAGGCCACGGGCTGTTTGCGCATTTGACATGCCGTTACGACGGGGAAGAGCCGGTCATGGTCCACTCTGGAGTGCTTCACCTCTTCCTTCATCATCATCATTCGCGCCTTGATTTTCAAAGCCAGGTTAGCAATTTCTGTTTCCTAATAACATTAGCATTAATGACTCTTATCTCGATCTGTTATCTTTGCGGATAAGCAAATTAACAACGGACGTTAGTCGCGAATAGCATGACTATCAATCAAATTTTAGAGCAGTACAATATCAAGATATCATATTTAAATGGGAAATGAATAGCTAACAGCGCCGTCACCCTTTCAAGAGCTATCCTGGGAAATCAGATTATCAGAAGCCGAAACTGAAGCCGAAACCGAAGCCGAAACCGAGCGGGTGCTGCCACGGTGTGAGTAGATGCACTGTCTCTATTGCCCCTGCTCCCATCAACCCATTCGCTTTTCACGCCTTGTCTTATAGCAATCCAGTCGAAAAAGAGAGAAGAAGAAAGCACAAACATAGCTTCCCCGAGAATGACCCCAATTAGTGAACGGCCAGCCCACAAGCTCGTCCTCGAGTCCTTGAACTTGACCAGCACGTTGGACGGGAAGTCCCCGAACCGGCTCAGGCCAGCTTCACGTCCACAACCTCGACGACAACTCCATATCCAGCAATATCCCCCGACCTCTCCCGCTTCGTTCAACCTCGAGCTCCTCCACCTAAACGGCAATGCCTTCTCCGGTGGCGGCTTCCCCGCTTTCCTCACCGGCCTCCACCGCCTCAAAATCCTCATACTCGCCAGAAAGCCGCATCTCCGGCAAAATACTTGGTGTAGTCATAAACCCCATGAATTTCTTATTCTCGAATATCATTAAGAATTGTTTCTTTAAATACTACACAACTGCAAAACAACAGATGATCTTCTAAAGCAAATATGTGGTTCGGTCGCCCATCATGCACAAGACAAAATGATTGGCCCAAATTGCACCGTTCTCCTGGCGCAGTCCCTGACTGATCACTGCCAACAACAAATGATCCTGGTCACGATCATAAATTAATTCGAGCGCGTTAAGAAAATTCCAGACAGGGATTTTCTCGTGTCATTTTTGTACATGTCCATGCATCTCTTAGACTTGGACTTTTAGTTGTACAGTCTGAACGTTACTTGAGACGTGAGAGTCAAGACAGCGAAAGGTGTTTCAGTTTATTTCTGAGCTTTGTTTCTCTCTAAATGGAAAGTTTATTTTTTCAGGAACAACTGTATCTTTATAATAAACTAGTTCGTTTTCATCCATGATCGTTTGGAATGTGCTTTCAAACGCGTGTGGTTTCCTGCAAACTAAAAAGGGTTAATACCGTAAAAAATCCCAAACTGGTACATTTGTGATAAATTTACCCCGAATTAATTTTTTGATCACCAAAAATCTCAAACTGCTACACCGATGATAAATTTACCCTTATTTAGTTTCCGTTAAATTTTACCTTTAAATTGCTGAGTTAAATGACATGTAACAATTGACGGGTGTACCAGTTTGCAGTTTTACCCTCTGCTTGTCACATGTGTATTACTTTGTGGTTTTTCATAGTATTAATTCAGTTTAACGAAAACTAACGGAAGGTAAATTTTTCACATGTAATCTAAATGTTCATTACATTCTGTTGTTTTTTATGATTTAAGATGCAGCTTGCAGTCATACCAAGATAGTCTCTCAACATTTTCTCAGGTCTGACATGATTAATGCATGTGGTTTTAAACAGTATAGCAAAATTGAAAATCCGTGCAGGACGTTGTTAAATAGCACAGAAGACATGTCACGCATAATAAGTCTAGGAAGTGATTAATTCGTAACGAACGTGTAGAAACTTATACAAGTAATCTATTTATTTTTTTTATCATAATAAGAACATGATGTTTGAACCTACGTCAACATACTGTTGATCCGAAATTCTTCGATTTTTACAGATAAAATGTCTCATTTCCTGTGTAATAGTAAAACTTTTCGTACAAAATCCTATTCCGTGTTTAAAATAGGGGTAGATACCAATCTACATATTATTGCCTCGGTCGTGATTAAATTTTCAAATATTTGTGCTATGGGTTCGATTGGGGATAGTTGTCCAAAAAGTCCTAAATCTATTGTACGGCGATCAATTCAGCCTTAAAACTTTCAATTGTGTCAATTTAATCCTAAAACTTTTAATCTCTTGCCAATTTAATCCTAAACCATTTTGAAGATTTACTAATTTAGTCCTAAATATGTTAGCGACTTGCTAATTTAGTTTTTTCCGATCAATTTTGGCTAGAAAACGTTGATGTGGACGCCGGCTAGCCACCAGTCATCCTACATGGCGTGGATTGCGATGACATGGATAATTTTTACATTTTTTTTTCCTTTTTTTACTTTTCTTTCCCTTTGGCTTATGGCCGATACTTCGTCATGGCTGGCGACTGCCCACAGCCGAGGCCGGGCGAGGGCCGCGACCTCGCCGACCACAGGCAAGGGTCACCCTCTTGGCTTGGGCAAGGGCAACCCTCTCCCAGGCCGTGATGGTGGAGGCCTCATCAAATCCGCCAAGGCCGACCCTCACCAAGTCGCAAGGATGGCCAATAGTTGACCAACGTCCATGTAGTGATTTCCAGTCAAAATTGATCAAAAAGACTAAATTGACAAGTTGTCAAAAGGTTTAGGACTTAATTGATAAGTTGTCAAAATATTTATGACTAAATTGGCACAATTAAAAGGTTTATAACTGACTTGGCCGCCCTATAATAAATTTAGGACATTTGAACAATCTAGATTATATTGGAGGCATATAAGATGTCAAATTTTTTTCATGATGATATGTTCATCGTCGTAGGTCCACGAAATGCAATGAGGCATTTTTACTTAGTGGGTTCATTAGTGTTTGGAGAGTCATAGACATGAATTTAGTTTAACCCCACAAGCACTTCACTCGGGCCCTTTTTTGGAGGCATCGTAGGGAGAACGGGGTCCTCTCACTTTAGTCACACGTTCATCCGATTCAACAATTCAATTTTATTTCAGAAGTCATATTTTTGGTCCACCCAATTATTTATGGTTGATTATAGTGGCTACTTTAAAGCTTGGTGCTCAACTATTTTATTGATTGTTGTTGATCCATCGGATGCCAAGTTCACTCGAAAAGTTTTCGTGGGTAGTCCACTTTCTACTTTCCCCCTGCTAAATTTTCCACATATTAGCAAGAGGACAGATTGCCAAACAGGCAATATGCCCTAATTAATGGACGGGCCTGGACGGGCTGGGCCTAGTCCCAAGCCTAAAAATTCTTGTCCAGGCTCGCCGATGCTTGAAACATTAAAATTTTCAAATCATCTCAATACATACGCCATGCATATAAATACATTCTATACACGTGCTAGGCTAGCCATATTTGCTCAACTATCGTCATTTGCTGAACATTTTAGTGTTGCTTAACTTGATTAATGAATAGTTTTGTATGTTTAGCAATTGCAGCACGACCAATGATTTTTACCATATCCTTTTGTGTAAACTCTTCTAATTTGACATGCTCCGGTAAAGTTGAAGAGGTTGTATGGTTATGAGGTTTATTTGGAAATCTCAGGAAATCTTAAATATGCATGTAGATTCGAAGCTTGCTGGCTGAAACCAAGTCAATAGTGATCACAGGCCACTCCATAGGAGGATCAATCGCATTCCTCACAGGTCTTTGGCTCCTCTCCTACCTCAAATCCATCTTCTCACCCTTCTCCGTCCTATGCATCGGTTTCGGCTCTCCTTTCCTCGGCAACGGGTCGCTATCCCGAGCCATCCTCCGCGAGAGATGGGGCGGCAACTTCTACAATGTCGTGTCGACGCACGATATAATGCCGAGGCTATCTCTCAACCAATCGCTCGTTCAGACTAGCGTCTGGCACTTCCTAGTGAGATTCTGGCACACGTGTAAGATGTACCTGAGCTCTATGAATTCTGCTAACCTCCAATTAACTGAAGAAGACAAAGCCCGGTTATTTTCCTTGGTTGTGGAAGACATGGAGCGCCTAGCGCAAGCAGGGGAAGACTCGGGAGGGAGGTCATTTTGGCCATTTGGGAATTACTTGTTTTGTTCAAATGAGGGCACAATTTGTTTGGATAACGCGGTATCGGTGAACAAGATGATGCATTTGATGCTACGGACAGGCTCTCCGAATTGTATACTTGAGGAGCACCTTAAGTATGGGCAATATGTTGAGAGACTGTCTCGTCAGTCTTTGAAGAGAAGCATCATGGAAAGAGATCTCTCTGAGTCAAGCTATGAAGCAAGTCTTTCCATGGCTTTGAACTCCTCGGGGACATATCGACAGGTAGGAACACAGCACCTTAGATCTTAGAGCGATCGCAATCTGTAAATGTATTGATCTAGGCTTTTATTTTCAAGCGGAATTCCACCAGTTAAAAAAGTTCGTTGATCCCCTTTTTTGCAGGTATTGATTGCACCAATGGCAAAAGATTGCTTGAAGATGGGGAGGCGAATGGGGCGCACGCCGAACCTAAATGCCGCCAATTTAGCAGTTAGGCTATCCAAAATCACTCCTTACAAGGCGGAGATAGAGTGGTATAAAGCTTGTTGTGATAAGTCGGAAGAGCAAAGAGGATACTATGATTCTTTCAAGCAAAGGGGGGCCTCGAAGAGAGAGTTTAAGATAAACATGAACAGGTTCAACCTTGCGGCCTTTTGGGATAATGTCATACATATGATGGACAGGAACGAGCTCCCACACGATTTTCACAGGTGCTCAAAATGGGTAAATGCGTCGCAGTTCTATAAGCTCCTTGTGGAGCCATTGGACATTGCGGAGTATTATCGGTTGGGGAAGCACCTTGAGAAAGGCCACTATAGAAGCAATGGAAGAGAGAGAAGATACGAAATTTTCGATTGGTGGTGGAACGAGAGAGTTGTTGGTGAGGAACTGGGCAATAGGAGGACCAAGAATGCAAGCTTGACCCAAGACACTTGCTTTTGGGCAAGGGTGGAGGAAGCAAAGGAGTGGCTGGACAAAATCAAGAGTGCGAGTGACCCAAAAGAACTTGCTTTTCTTCGGGATAGACTCGATGAGTTTGAAGCATATGCAATGAAGCTGGTTGAAGGAAAAGAGGTGTCTGCTGATGTTCTGGCTAAGAATTCAAGCTTTAGTTCGTGGTTAGAAGAATGGAGAGCATTGAAACTGAATCGAACTGGCCTTAACCGACTGTTTCAAGCTGGTTCACAGGGGGACTGATTCTTAGCATTCTTCAGCCTGCTTGAAACTCAAAGGGATAGATGTAATAAAGATTCTCAGAAGAGAGGAAAGTAAATGCATATGAGCATTCTTCAGCCTGCTCTTTGTACAATTTTAGACATACTATATTACTTACTTCAACGTTGGTAAAAGGTAGTGGAATAGAGTTTCGTGATGAGATTGAGATGTGGCTTAACAACAAAAAGTGTACCTCCTGATTTTATGTTGGGAGGTAATTGAGTGTTCTGTCCTCTGCAGCTGCAAAACTATTCCTCATTCAACTTGCTGCTTCTTACTTCCAACGATGAAATATTTCTACTTAATAAGAAGACGTGAAGAGTCCACTTCGGCGCAAGGTAGCCAGTTAGCCACCATCTTTATTTGTGCCGGTGCACAATAATATGATGCTTTGAAGGGTTTGTGATCCTGCATATGCCTTTTGAAACCACTCGTGCAATCAATTGACTGCACCAAGCTTTGCCAGATACTTCGAAGTGCAACAGGAAACAGAAAAAGAAGCAAACAGAATAAGGAATCTACCTGATTGCCAATGCCAGCATTGAGGCGTTTGGCTTCAAGCCAAGCGCAACATCATGAAGCAAATGGACTGCATTTGCGGCCGGCGAGGTGCATAGCCCAAAAATAAAGGAACCAATCGTCTGTTAAAAGTTCACAAAGAGAAGATCATTAGATATCGTGGAACAGCATCAACTTCTTTTCGAAAGAAACCCTCCATATAGCACAAATAAGACTTATATCAAGGAAAATGAAGCATTTAGCAGTTCCGAGGACTTTGTTCGTAACTTCCTTTAAATTCAGTTGGAAAACAGAACAGCATCTAAGTTTCAAGAAAATGGTTTCACATGCAGCACTTTCCCCTCTCTAAAGTGTTCTTGTTAGTCTTCTTCAGACGGTTACTGCTAGCTTCTCTTGAAATAGAAGTGCAAAGAATCTCATTAAGGTTCAAATTTGGCAACATTTCAGCTATGAAAAGAGCTTTGCAGTTCGGAGTTACACCAGCATAACTTCCTGTATCCCTTCCATTTACTTTTCGAAATTGTATTCTTATAAGATGTTAGGACTAAAGGAGTCTATTTTAGACCCAAAAAAGATTCCTAATTTCACATTCATATGCTCAGATAAACAATCTCTTTTGCTAAGAGTAATGACATCGCCTGCATATTTTTTTACCTTTCAAACAACTTTTCAAGTGTGAATCCCAAATCATTTGAAATTTTGCTCATGTTACGAAGAAAGGGCACTGCAAAGTTAAGTTAGGCTTGGACACCAGTTCAAGAATTCAAAAGGGAACTGGGGCGTACGTGAAGCACAGCAAAATGGCTCAGTGCATCGACCGGTGTAACACAGTGGGTAAGGCTATTCCGACATGCTAACAAAGTAGATGGAAGATATGTATTATATCACAGCCACATCCCCCTTATATATAATACCCGTTTCGACAATGTTTAATAGCTATATTACCATAATTGAGAAATCTAGAAGAAAATACCTCGATATCTAAATCAAGAAAGAAACCTATGAGTTTTAATGACTCTCGTTATTATAGTTGAGCTACAATGATTCTATTCTCAAAAAGAAAAGAGAGGATAAGTAGCATAGGGTGGAGCTATTTCTACCTCATTCATCACTAGATCCACTCATTTTTTACAAAATAGAGGAAATCGGCATTAATGGTTTCGATATTCGTACAGCTTCCTTTAACTTAGTTATTTTCCTTTTTATGGTAATTCGTGAAACTAAACTTATCTATTTAGAAAATAAAGTCTAGTCCCCTCTTTATCATTGCTTTTATAACAATTTATATATATTCTTCGTCCCTCCAATTTCAAAGCTCACTTTCCCGGTATATAATTTATTTTTTTATTTTTCATTAGTCTAAAAAAAATACCAAATCTCTTTATATACTATCAAAGAATTTGTCTTATTTTCTTTAGAATTGGCATAGCAGCCCCAACCCCATCCATAAAGCTCTCCAGCTTCTGTCACTGCAGCAGTACGTTCAGCTCCAGCTGCGGCGACCATTTTAATGGGGATGCCCTAGGACTAGTAGGATCACAATGGCAAAGCAAATAAGCTATTTAAGTAAATCCCTTATCCTTCTACAAAGTATGCTGCAAGATGTTCCTCATTAACTGGGAGCTCACTGTAAAGGCCTCAAATAGTCAAAACATTGATGCAGCTTAGGAAGAAAGATTGAGCTAAATGTCTGGCAGTAGTGAACACACAAATCTTTCTCAAAAAGTATGTTGGTGAAGGATCACTCATCTAAGCAGTGAGCAACAAAGATCCTTATTGACAGTATTCCAGATAAGTTACTTGCCAGTACCTGACATTCGTGGATCTTCTGTGGCAGAATGAGAATCCTCAGTGGTGCCAAGACCAAGTTGACCATTTTGAATTCTCCCCCAGCTTTAATCAAGCAAAGGATCTGTAAGGAAAAGTCTAAGGCTTTTGTCTGGTTTTACATTGGTGACTTTAACCTAAAGCATTCTATCAGGGAACAACATCAACATGGGGGAAACACACCCTGGACAACTTTCTTTAAAAACCTCCAAAAGCTGTAGGAAAATCAAATTTAGATTAATGAAGTACCTAGGCTGAGATGGTTAAAGGTAAGCTCCAAAGTAGGGTCGGCAATTTGTTTGTTTGTGTAAGAAATGGTTTTGTGTCAAATTTAGGTCTAATCCAAACATGCCCACGTTTAGTAAGCATTCCATATTTTTTGAAAACACAAACATGAAATTTATTCAATGGGCCATAGGATCGACATGTTTAACATGTCAAACAGTTACAGATATATTCTCTTATATAAACGCGTCAAAATGTATTTAAAGTATATTAATGTGCCTTAATGAATGTATCTAAACATGTCAAGTTGAAACAAATAACTCACTAACATGTTTATTTAAGCGCGTCATAAACAGGGTTAAAAGGGTCAACCTGTGAACGACACGTTTATTATTAGGTTCCGTTCGTTTGGCGGAAAATATTTTCCGAGTTTTCCGGTGTTCGAGGGGCGGAAAACGTTTTCCGTGGAAAAATATTTTCCTTCCCCCCCTCACAAAATAGCCTAAATCTATGGAAAATGACTTCCGCTTCTTCAAAAGCGGAAATCATTTTCCGGAGCTGCTTCTTCTTCTTCTTCACTAAGGTCGCCGGCCGCCGCTACCGCCGGTCGCCGCCACCGCCGCCGCGGCCGCCGGTCGCCGCCACCGCCGCCGCGGCCGCCGGTCGCCGCCACCGCCGCCCGCGCGCGGCCGCCCGCCGGCCGCCGCCGGCGAAAAATATTTTTCGAAAATTTTTCATATTGATCACCGAACACCGGAAAATTATGTTCCGGGAAAACATTTTCCAGGAAAATGACTTCCGGGAAAATATTTTCCAAAAGGAGAATCTTTTCCGCCAAATGAACGGAGCCTTAGTGTATAAACAAATTGACCTGTTTGTGACACGAACACGATGAAGCTCAACCAAAGCACGCTTAACTACATGTTAAGCAAAAGGGCAGCGCTATTGAAAATTGATAGCCCTACTCCGAAGCTATGAAAGAGTTCGTGTTGATGGTCATATCATTACACTGGGCAAGCAATAAAGCACTGGTTTTGGAAGTTCCAAAATGAACACACGTCATATCACTAGCAACTTATGTACATCACCAAAACTAGGAAATGTACAGGACTGCATAAAACAGGTCAGCCATTTATAAATCACATGCTAGCTAGGTAGAAGATATAGGGATCAGTGAAACATACAGAACTGAAGACACAGAATTTAACTTTTATCAGGTACTTTTAAAGGGAATAAACCCCCATGTGTAAGTAACTTTCAGATATGTTAGATTCTATTCGTCATATATGAGCTCTTCCGTGTATATGCTTGTTAGCAACAGCATTTCTTCTCTTATTTAGTTCAATCCCCTTGACGTTTAGTTTCGTTAAATCCATATCACATTGGAATGAAGCAAGCCACCAATTTAAAGATCACTCAGTCGTGTGGCCCAAAGTTCCACACTCATCCTACCTGCTCAAAGAGGTAACATGTGTGTGTGCCCTCACTTTCACAGAGAAAGAAAAGAAAAATATATCGTAAGCTCATCAAAATCAGATTATTCAGAAGATGTTTCCATCAAGTAACTGTGCAGTTAAGGAATTTAGCATGGGACTGTACCTGCAGTGAGACAAGTCAAACTGAAAGACACAAAATACAACAAAAACACATGTCAAGCAATGTCCCAAAATCCCATGAATCATCATCACAAGAAGAGCAATTCAGCAAGAAGAATGTGACGATGGTTAGCATTTGAACATCCGGCTTATCCGCACCTACAACTATGGGGACTAAAAGAAGTTGAGGATTGGTTTGAATATTAATCACCTTTAACAATTACTGAGTCACTGATAGACACAGCATTAACATAAATAAATAACAGAAGATACTTAACCTCTGGATTCCTCCTTCCATAGTCACAGCCAAACAATGGCTGTCCCCACAAGCAATTTGCTTTATTCTCAAACCCTGTAAAGTTTTGATTGGTTGAGGCATAAAGACGTCACTAGAGTTGCCATGACCCAACCTCCCAAAGTCACCCCTGCAGAATAAACAAGAAGCTTGATTGCCAATTGTGTATGCAAAGACACAAAATGACAGAGAGACACAGAGGGGACCTCAAAATGACTAAATTTGGAGCAAATCCTGCTCCTCCAACTGACTAGGTTTGTCAGTATTAATGTTGCTTATGCAATAACTAAACTTTCCCTTATAAGATAAATAAGACATCTTGTAGAAGATGAAAGGTTGTTTATGTTTATTCTGTGTGAGACCTATTCTTTTTGCTGTCTTTGTTATATTTCCATCAACAACATTCATCTCAAGGGTAAATGTCTCAAACAGAAATTCACATGATGGCCTAACGAACCTTAAAGCCAATCTGAAAGTAAAACCATCAACTCAAGTCCAAACAACTGCCCAAGGTAGGAAATAGACACTAATATCTAGCAGAATGATTGAAAAATGGAATCTTTTATAGTGTTAAATTAAAAGATTCAAACAGACCATCCCCAGCTCTCCTTAAGTGATTCAGAATATGCAGTTGTGTGACAGCTCAACAAGTAACAGATACTACTTCTTGACCATCCAGTGCACTCAAATGTGTAGGTGATGAATGATCTTCAGCATCCCCATGGCCTAGTTGGCCATCCTCCCCTCGTCCCCATGAGCAAACAATATTTCCAGCTGCAGACGACACAGAGTAAGCTTTAAAAATTTATGAAGCCAACCTAAATTTAAGAAGTTATCACACAGCACAACCATTGGCCCATGCAAAACGCTATAAGTCTTTCTTTTAAAGACTTTATCACAAAAAAACCAAGGGAAAGTACCTAGGATGCGATTATCATAAAGATCAATCCAAAAGCAAACAAAGATTCTAACACTTGTGCTGAATCTTACCATTCTATCTCCTCCGCAAACTAATGTCCATGATCCATAAATTTGGGATTTGGAAAGAGTCTATGACATTTAGTAAGAACTTTTTTTAAAGAAAAGCTCTCCTCACTTGGTACAGACTCAAGTACTACCTTATCGCAACAACGATTGAACTAGAAACACACAGAGTCTTAACCCCAACGAATAACCAAATGAAGGTGCATAAGATTCCCATCCCAACAAACCCAATCAGATTAAACCAAAAGTAATCGCATATCAAATCACCTAGTCACCGGCTGGAGATCAGCAAGTTTCAGGCAAAGGTTTTTGTCCACAAATTATCATTCTATGAAGGGAAGGCCACAATACATATTGGCAGGAGTAGTGTACCAGTAAAATAATCTCAAATTTTTCCAGACCCTGTGCTGTCAAGCAAGCTTTCTGGATATTCTTATCAATGGGCTGGCATAGGTTTATATCCATTGGTATGTGCTAATTACATCAATTACATCCTCCTCACACCTTGATTATTTGTCAAAATAGGGGTGTAATTGAGTCGAATTGACATGGTTTAATAATCAACTATGTGCAGTTTGAAACTCGACTCAAGCTTGATTTCTCAAGATTGAGCTCTATTTCCCAATATCAAGCTTGACTAAGTTGAGTTTTTCAACAACCTCAAGCTCGAATAAGCTCAGGTTAATTAAGTTTTGGATAACCTCAAGCTCAGATCAGTTTGACTCAGTTTTCGCTGGTAAATTGTATTCTAAGCTCCAGTTGAGCTCGAAGCCATGTATCCATATGATTAAGGCGGACAAACATTCAACCACTTGATTGAACCTGAGAGCTACTCGGATAAAGTATTTTCAAGTTCGAGCTCAACTCAATAAAATGTTCAAGCTACGACAAGCCGACTCCAACTCTATCCGTCCTCAAGTAATCTACAAGTTGAGACCGAGAAGATAGGTTAACTCATCTACACCCTTATCTCAAACCTTACAAGGAACGGGGACGCGATAATATTCCCTTAAAATGCACACAAATGCACGAAGACGGAACCAGAGCAATGAAGCCCCAAAAGGAAAGAGACAAACACCCATCGTGAGAAGACCTACAAAAACTTACGCGACACTCTCAAAACTATAATGTTAGCAAGCAACGCAGCGTGGCTCGCAGCAAACTTGCTCAACTGCACACCCAACAAGCCAATGGCTCTAAAGGATCAAAGACCTACAATATGAATCGCGAGCCACATGACCGCGCTTTTCGTCGTACTGCAGTGCAGACACAAACAGCAACAGAACCATAGCGAAGCGCGAAGTAGAGTTCGCGAAGCTTACAGAGGAGTGCAACAGAGCGACTCGCGCCAGCGGAGATGAAACACGTGTGTAAGCGACACATATACGCCAGCGGAAATATGTGTCATCTGTTTACATATCAGCTTAGTTGACATTTCTTTCTTTCTTTTTTTGGTTCTTCTTCCTTTTACCGCCGCCATTGACAACCTGTGTAAGCGACACTGTTCATCGTCTTCTTCGCAGGGACTCGCTGGGCCACAGTTCACCGGCGCTCAACCATCGCCATCCAGACCTCCGACGCCGGCAACGACCTCCGACAACCCCTCCGCGACTGTAGGCAGTCGTCGGAATCATCTCCGGCAGTCTCGGCCGAGACCCCTATTTCCGTTTCCAGTTTTTCAAGCTTCAAGAAGGCATCTTACCTTCGCTCAGTCATCCCCGAAGCCTTGCAGATCCATTTCGTGCCCGGGCGACGACAAAACGAGCCCAAGCTCTTCTCTCTCTCTCTCTCTCACTCTGTCCCTTTGCCCTTTGGTCGACCTCCATTAATGGAGGTTGCCACCCGCAATCGGGGCGCCCGATCTCACGTTTGAGGTAATCTCTCCTGTTACGTTGAACCATACACAACCAAGATTTCAGTTTCGCACATGCCCTTTGAGCTCTAACTCACAGATTCGCTGTCAAAATCGAATCACTTCGGCCTCAAAACATCTGATCTGGACCATTTTCAGTCCTCGAAACTCTATGAACTCTCGAACTTCTCTTTTGTAAGCCTCGCTAAAAAAAGTACAAGACCCATCATCACTGTTTCAACCCACGACGAGGTCTCAATTCCCAGAGCAAGAACAGCCGAACTGCCCTCGTTGCAATTCCAGCAGTTTCAAGTTCTGCTATTACAACAACTACAACCTCTCTTAGTCCCGCCACTTTTGCAAGAGCTGTCGTGGATACGGGGCAGCCGGCGGTGCCCTCCGCAACATCCCCGTCGTCGTCGGCGGCGGCGGCATCCCGAAGGCCACCGAACAGAGTTAAGTTGATCTCATGGCTGGGTTGATGGTGTTCTGTCATGGCGGAAGTGAAAAGAGAAGAAGAAAGGGACAACAAAAAAAAAAAAACAAGAACAAGGAGTAAAAAATGAAAATAAAATAATCTTGATTCGGAAGATTTAACGAAATCTTACGGCGGTAGATTCGTTATAATTGCACTTTATTTTTAGTGATCAAAAAATTAATTTAAAATTAATTTATTATAAATATATTAATTTGAAATTTTTCGTGATATTAATTCATATTTATTATGAAACTTTGCGCTAAAAATAAGAGTTAATATCATGAAAAATCTCAAATCGGTATACCCGTAACAATTTTACTCCGAACTAATTTTTTAACCACTAAAAACTCTAAACTGATATAAATATAACACATTTACTCTGTACTAATATTTTGACCACCAAAAACTTTAAATTGATACACTTGTGACAAATTTACCTTCCGTTAAATTGAATTAATACTACGAAAGACCATAAATAGGCAAACATGTGATTAACAGAAAGGTAAAACCTCAAACTGATACATCCGTCAACTGTCACGTGCCATCCAACTCAGCAATTTGGTGCTAAAATTTAACGAAAATTAATTAGAGTAAATTTATCGTAAATATATTAGTTTCGGATAAATTTATCATAAATATATTAATTTTGAGTTTTTTCGAAATATTAATTTTAGAAATAATTAATAAGTACTGAATTAACTATTGCCTAACTATTTTTTCCTCGGGTTTATAAGTTGCTATGCCCCCTTGTCTCAGCCAAATCGTTCATAATTGGTACACCTGGCAATCAACTCATTTGCTTCCAAGTTATCAATTGACTGACCCAAAGCATGCCACGGTCGCAAGCCCCTGTCAAAGATGATTGATGGACACGCGGGAGTAGTTAGGTTGTAGAAATTTCGTGGAATTTACGTGTGTTAAGTGTATGAATCCCTACTTGAATCATTTGAAGTCATAACTCTTCGCAGCGACGATGATATCGTATGGACAGGATATCTTAATTTATAAACTATCAGAACTTGAACTTCTCATTGGTAAGTCTCCCTAAAAACAGTAGGCGAGGAAATGTACCAAGACCCACCATCAGTGTTTCGACTCACGAGGAGGTCTCAATTCTTAGAGCAAGAACAGCTGAAATGCTCTCGTTGCGACTCCAGCAGCACCAAGTTCTGCTACTACACCAACTGCAACCTCTCTTAGTCGCGCCACTTTTGTAAGAGTTGTCGTGGATACGGGGCAGCCAGCGGTGCCCTCCGCAACATTCCCGTCGTCGGTGGCGGTGGCATCCCGAAGGCCACTGAATAGGGTTAAGTTGATCTCATGGCTAGGTTGATGGTGTTCTGTCGCGGGGAAGTGAAAAGAGAAGAAGAAAGGAACCAAAATGAAAATAAGATAATTTTAATTTGGAAGAATAAAATGACGTGAAATTGACACAAGAGATTCCAATTATATAATTGCACAGAAAAATAACAGCGGGCGGATTTAGAAATGAGGTGAAAGTTCATCATTTTTTTACGAGACAAAAAATAATTTGAGGTAGAATTTAACATAATCTAAAATTTGAGGTCTTTAATGGAATTAGGCCACAAATTAACTTAGTGGAACAATAAGCCAAATAATGATTAAAAGAATGCAGTATATCCGTGCCTCCGTTTGGAAATGTCTAAGAAGTCTATTTCCTTCCCCACCATCTCGAGGGCAGATCGATCCAAACACGTTAAAACCATACAATATATTCATACCTTCATTTGAAAATGAATTTAAGGGTGCATTTGGTAACTTGTCAGACTGATTATATTCTTTTATTTTCGAAAATAGAAAAAGAATAGAAATCTGTTTGGTAATTTTTTTGTTCCCGGACACAAATTTGTTCTCAGAATCAGTTTTGAAACAGAATTAATAAGCAAAAAAAAGTTGCTTCTTGATTCTGGAAACAAAAATTAGAAATAGAAGAGAAATTTTTTTTTCTTTTTCTTCTTTCCTTCTTGGCTGTGGCCAATTCTTCTTCTTTCTTGGCCTGTGGCCTGTCGAGAGTCCCCCTCACCGGCGAGGGCGAGGGCTGGACCCTCACGACCTGGGCTAGGGTGGCCCTCGCTGGCCTTTTCCAGCCCTTGCTCGAGCCAGCAAGGGCCACTGTCGAGGCTCGTGGCCTGGGCGAGGGCGGCAACAAGGGTCCAGCCCTTGCCAGATCCGGCGAAGGCAGCCCTTACCAAGCCACGAGCCTCAACGGCGGCCCTCGCCCTTGCCGGCGCTGGCCTGTGGCCGGTCGCTGGCCAACCGACCACTGCCAAGAACGAGAAGAAGAAAAAAAGAAAAAGAAAGAAATATTAAAAAAATTAAAATATTATTAATAAAAAGAAATTATGTACAGTTACCAAACGCATTTCTGTTATTTTTCTATTTTAGAAATGAAAATTTTAGACTGTTATCAAATACCTTCAAATACTTATAAATTATTTTCGAAAATAAAATAAAAAAATTTATTTCTGAGCAGAAATATAACAGCCAAGACCATTAGATTCGCTAGTTGACGAATCTCAACCATTTTTTTTTGATATAAAAGAGGTGTCCGCGGCCGAGCTAGGGCTCAAACGCGGTGATGCAGCTAGTCCTCGAGGGGGCTAGCAGCATCCCACCGCCACGACCCCCCACTTAAATCACTGATGGGCGAGTTTGAACCCAAAACCTCTCGTGAAAGGAACTGAGCGCAAACCAACGCGGCCACCGATGGGTGGGTGAATCTCAACCATTTTATAGTGCACTGTCTCAAAGAATAACCAGTTTTATCACGAAGCTTTGTGCTATTTATAATTAGGGTTAATACCACAAAAAACCATAAACTGGTACACTTGTGACACATTTACCCCAAACTATTTTTTTGACCATAAAAAACCCTAAACTGGTATGCCTGTGACAATTTTACCCCAAACATATCACAAAAAACCTTAAACTGGTACACATGTGACAATTTTACTCCGAACTAATTTTTAATATTATTTTTTTGAATTTTTTTGAATTTTTTCTTTTTTCTTTTCTTTTTTTTTTCCTTCACCTTCAACCTCGGCCGATCAGCGGGTCCGGCGAGGCCCAGGGAGAAGCCGGCGAGGCCGCCTCGCCCGTCTGGGAGGGCCGCTCTCGCCGAAGTCGGGCGACCCTCGCTGCGTCGGGCGACCCTCGCTGCGTCGGGCGACCCTCGCTGCGTCGGGCGAGGCCGCCCTCGCTGCGTCGGGCGAGGGCGTCTCTCACGCCCGGGGCAGGGCGACCCTTGCCAGGCTCGGGTGAGGGCGGCCTCGCCTTGCCTGGGCGGGCGAGGCGGCCTCGCCGGCAGCCGGCGAGGGCGCCTCCTCGCCGACACGCCGGCGAGGCGGCCTCGCCCGACGCCGGCGAGGCGGCCCTCGCCGGCTTCCGCCTGCCGGCGTCGGCTGGGCCATGGCGGCCATAAGGTCGAAGATGAAAAAAAAGAAAAGAAAAGAATAAAAAATAAATAAAAATTCGAAAAAAATAAAAAATAATATTAAAAATTTAATTCGGGTAAAATTGTTACATATGTACCCTTTGAGGTTTTTTTGTGGTAAGTTCAGTGGCAAAATTGTAATTGTGTGTACCATCAGCCGGTTTGGGGTTTGTACCAAAAAAATAGTTCAGTGAGTAAAATTGTCACAAAAGGTGTCTGGCTTTGTAGTTTTTATTGGTCAAAAAAATAGTTTGGGGTAAATGTGTCACAAGTGTACCAGTTTAGGGTTTTTCGTGGTATTAACCCTTATAATTAATAAGTACCGGAATAATTATTGCCTAACTATGTCTTCCTCGGGTTTAGAAATTGCTGGGTCCCATCGTCTCAGCCAAATTTCATAATTGGTACCCTTGGCGGTCACCTCACTTGCTTTTAAACATTCCAAGTTATTCATTGACCGACCCAAGGCCCATGACGGAGTTTTTCTTTTTTTTTTCGAAAGGTCTGTGATGGAGTTTGGTTGT